GTTCTTCTCATAGACTGCACGAATATAAGTTTGAGTGGAAAGAATATGTGTATGCGTATTGTATATTACCTGAACTTTCCCTTCCGGTTCATCATCAACAGGGTGTGAAGACCGGACATGGCAATGAATTAGCGCCCTTCGAGTATTACCCAGATGTTGGTCCTGTATGTCTATTCCCCCAACATTAATTAAAAAGTGAACTCAAAACGGTCTGCTCCCACTCTGTAGGCGCCAATCCTCTTCCCACGCCTTGGCGGCTAACGTCCCAGTATGCTATTGCGTTTTGTTGCTCATCACGTTATCGGTCCTCCCCCCAAACCACTTCTATCCCAGCCTTCAAGGACATTGCACCTCAGTAGTCAACTTGAATAATGCCTCTTTTCACCGACTCTCGGAATACCACTATAAACAATAGCAATTTTGTGGACCAGTCGATCAACAACACTATTGTGAGTACTTCACTGACAAATGGACAAACCGGTGAGACAATACGATACAAAGTAGTTTGGAAAAAGCTTATGTCTGCACCGGCAACTAGGTATTGATATCCTGCTGGAAGCATCCAACCCCAACGCTGCCCATGACTCCTCTGCCCGTGACTACGCCCCTCGGTGTCAACCTGGCACTCGCGAACAATACATCGAGGACATCTTCGGCTGGGGTGCACCCGCCATTGGCGCTGATGAATCCCTACCCCTCTTCTGGATGAAGGGCCCAGCTGGCGTTGGCAAATCTGCTATAGCCCAGACTTGCGCCGAGGAGCTCAGGAAACTGGGCAGGCTCGGCGCTGCGTTCTTTTTTGCGGTTAATGTACGAGACGACGCAGACGACGCTGAAAGGTTCTTTCCCACCATTGCCTACCAGCTTTCCACCGAATTCCCCGACTACCGGGATCTTCTCGACCAAAGGATCCGCCATGACAGGACAATCCTCAAGAAAACGATGGCAATGCAATTCAAAACACTCATCGCTGAGCCATTCCAGGAGCTGGAGAAGACTGGGAAGGGCATTGGGCGGAGGCTGGTCATAATCGTTGACGGTCTCGACGAGTGCAAGAGGGCCGATGATCAGTCCAGGATCATTAGGATCGTCGCAGCTGCTGCCCGCGATGGTGTCACTCCATTTCGCTGGGCATTCTTCAGCCGCCCAGAACCCCACATCGAAGCCACTTTCACCTCCTATGATATCGCCCTAGTCACTTTCACGGTCCTACTGCCGGTCTCCGATAATGCCAATTCAGACATCGAGCTCTACCTCCGCAGCGGCTTTGAGGACATCCTTCGGCGTCGCAACATCCCTGTGAAACCTCAATGGCCCTCTGACAACGATATCCAAGCGCTGGTGAGGGCAGCAAAGGGATTGTTCATGTACGCGGCGACAGTACTTCGGGATGTGGATCAGGCTGGATCTCCCTCAGAAGTGCTGCGCGCAGTCTGCGCTGCCACCTCTAATCCCACCAACGGCTCACTCTTTGCGGGACTCGATGCCTTTTATATGCTCATCATGCAGCGTATCCCCCCTGAAAGGCTTCCTACTATTCTCCTCTTGTGTAGGTTATTGTGTAGTGGTGAATCGTACCCCGGTTCCGGAACTTATAGTGGCGTAATGCAGTGGAGCAATCTACTAAGACTATCTGAAATCGACTTCCGGGCGGCCTGCAACCAACTCAGTGCCGTGCTCTACGCCCGCGAGCATAGTGACTTTTTCGACTTCTCCCAGCTTGGCGACACCGATCGTTCATTCTGGCACGCGGCCCCAGCTTTCGTCGAGGCACAAGCCGGTACTGTTCAGGTTGCTCAGGTCACAGCTATAGCCATGAACCTGGGCACCCAATTATACCTGGGTGACACAGCCATCTGCCTGCCAGATTGATCCATTGATCCAAATCACCCAGATTATCTGGGTTTACCTGGGTAGCAGGTGGGTATCCATAAAATAAAAGTGCAACTTATAAGACTTGAACATATGACTCTATGACATGCATTATGTAATAGACAACACATATACCAATACACTAAATGCAGCATTAATGTGGGTGTAACTTAAGACACATACAAGTCCATACCAGGTGATCCATCCATTAATGTAATGAGATGACCTGAAACACCTGGGTTATCTGGTTTGCCTGGGTAGTGGGTGGAAATTAACCTGAAACACCCAGGTTATCTGGGTTTACCTGGGTAGTGGGTGGGAATAACACCAGTAAAATAAATATGGCATTTCCAGGATTTGAACTCATGAACTCATGGGATGCACTACATACCAAGTACCACATTTGCCATTACACTAAGTATCATTAATATATGGTTAAACATTGATGTATATAAGTCCATACTGGGTGCCTGTACTTAACACATTAACACCCTTGTAATAACCATTATATAACAAAAATAGATTGTCCCACACTAATGAGTATCAATGAGTATCACATGAATGACCCAGGTACATCACCTCCCCCAGAGGTGATGTACCTGGGTCATTCAGTATGGACCTATATACCTCAATGATTATGTGTATATCACTGGTACTTAGTGTAATGGCAAACTTGTTACTTGGTAATCCCAGCATGCCATAGTCACATGAGTTCAAATCCCACATGTGGCAATTTTATTTTACTGGTATTATTTCCACCCACTACCCAGGTAAACCTGGATAGCCTGGGTGGTTTAGGTTGTTTGGGTCACTGTGTACCCAGGCATGGTCGGGTGCCCAGGTTCATGGCTATAGCCGTGACCTGAGTTACCCCATCAATACCGGTCCCTGGTCGAGGAGCTGAAGGCCCATGTAGTTGGCAGACTTGGAGGTTCAATCCACTTCTACCACAAATCATTCTACGATTTCCTTATCGATCCAACGCGTTCTGGTCCTTTTTGCATCCGGTCTTCACCTATGCATAATGCCTACTTCAAGCATTGCCTTGAGGTCATATTCGAGTATGAAGAAAGTTATCGTTTTCAAGGATCAGGTGAGCTCTAGGCTTCGTTCCGAATCCTTGTCTATATTCTCAATGCTGTGAACCAAGAGCTTATTTTAGCGCCTGGCGTGGCTGGTTCAACAACCCCCCTTTCCTAGCCCTTTACAAATGAACTCGTCAATTCTATGCTCAAAGCACAGGTTTATCGTTGGACTTTTGACGCCTGCTTCCGACTCGGTCGCCTTCCCGAGTCAGAGCGTCAGTTGCTGCAGCGTTTCAGTTGTGCCGATTTTTGCAAAGCCCAATGGAACCGGGTGACGCTGAGCGCACAATACGACGGCCTTATGGGCTATTCGCACTGGAACTGCATTGGCTATTGGAAACTCATTCGTGGGACTCAGCTCGTCCATATTCCTCAAGATGAATTTCGAGAGAACTTTGACGTAATCAACTTCAAGCTGGTGAGAAGAATCTTACAACCATTCATGAGATCCGCTAGTCATATCCTCCACAGGTAATCAAGCTATGGAAGGGATGTGGGATGATACAGCCTTATCATCCTGATTTTAGCTCCCGGCTCAAGTATCTCGTTGCCAAGAAGTCCCAAGACAAACTTATCTCTGGACTATTCCGCTTGGGGAATGGTCATAAATCCATTTTCTGGTATTGGGAAATCAATCTCAGAGAGGAGTATTATCAAGAGTTCATGACAGCTGATTTAGCTGAAGGGGAAAGGATTTATCAGGAGGAGAAATTTGATTTATGGCCGACGAAATCGCGGCGGCGGCAGCGGGCGCGTAAATTATCTTAACGGGAGAGATGCATAGAACCCGTTCACGACTACTGATATCCAGGCCTTCCACCTACAATGTATCCCTTAGTACGAAATATTTAACAGTCGACAATCTCTGCGAGATAGGTCTTCATCTATTGGCCGACGAGTCTCCCTTCCAAAATCATACATAGGTGGGCCTCGAGGCATGTATGAGTGTTATCAAGATGGAATGGTTCCCGCTCGCTCCCACAAACAGATTGATCTCTTCATTACTATGACAACAAATCCAAACTGGCCTGAGATTCGCGATGCCCTTCTTCTGGGTCAACACCCAGACCATCGCCCTCACTTGATTGCTCGGGTATTAATTCTGACTTGAATTTTTTCAAGAAGTTGAATGACGATATAAATCTTCATTCACCCGAGACCGCTGCAGTGTCTCGCAACGAGTACACATGGTGCAGGTAGGGACACATTGCCACGTTCCTCACACTATCACTTGATTCCTACTATCGCCCGCGCAGTGCGTGAGCCAAACGCTAGTATATATAAGCAAGTACCAAAAGTCAAGAATATCATCTACCATATACGAAGTGAGAATGGGATTAACGCGGGGGGAATTGACACCAGGAGCATCATCTGGGACCGTAAGACCCAAAGAGCGTCCGCCAGTGGAGCTGTCCGAATCATATTGTAAAGCAGTGTTTTCCAGAATAACAAACGTGAGGGTATGGTTATGGGGTAGCGACGCCTTTTCCGTAAGCGCCCGATGAAAAACTAACAAGAACCCATAAGCGACAGGATATGGGACAACTGTTAAGCCCATGATGCTAAATCTGGGGGGAATATGGTAGTGGATTGCGGAGGAAATCTCGTCGAAAAGAAGTCGGAGTGTGTTCAATCACCGTGACTCGGTGTATATCCGGTGGGGAGAGGTTAGGCCGGAACGCACCACTCGACTTAAATACTGTAAGTGTTCTCTAGCCAACGGCGAGGAGCCCGAACTAGTTCCAGTCAGTTCTTCATGTCAGCTTTCAAGGACGCTGCGTTGGTGTAAGCGCGACGCACATGCAGATCCACCGTTTGTCCTATGTTCGTCGCCGCTCCTTCGCATCCGAGTAGTGTTTCTTTTCTGGTCTATGATTGGTAAACCCAATGCAGCTCCTAGGACGTCTCCTTTCCAAAACATGAGCAAACAATAAAGTTTTCATATACTTCGTAACAAAGTTAGTGGCGAACCAACGAACGGCGCAAGTAAGTTGCACCTTGCTTGCAATTTTCCGGATGTGAAACGCCAAAAGTTGATCAAGTAGCCCACCGCGAGGGTCGAACTCGCAGCCTTCAGATTACAATGGCCCGTCCAAGCTTTAAGAGTCTGACGCTCTATCCGATTGAGCTAGGCGGGCTTCCTCTTTCGTGAGACATCACGTGTTGTGATTGTTCAATTGATATGTTATATAGATTCGTCGGGATTCCTCTTCGACCAGAGCGCGAACGTACCAGCACAATAGCTCAATTCGTGAAATATATAATCTTTCTCAGTAGTCAATCCGCTGCACGTCTGGCTTCACAGAGACGAACGTTTTTGGTGAACGTGGACTCGGGGTCGTAAGGCGTGACGACGTCTGAGGTGAAGAGAAATTTTTACATGATATATAAGTCACTACTTGCCGTCACCACGGGTGCAGTGAAAAGACAGGAAGGTCTACGTAGAATCTACCAGAAATGCAGGAATACAAAGGAATATTTGCATGATGTCGAGCAAATCAACGAGGGAAACGAGTGATCCCGAGGGATATAAGCCCTCCACTAAGGGTCCGTTATCTCCGTGCCCACATCGGGCCGTCGAACCCCTATCCTCGAATAGCTTTAAATACCTCGTCCGGGAGATAGAGATGTTTGGCCGCTTCGCTCAACGACATTGGTTGAGACTTCAGAAAGGTGCTGAAGGAACCACAATCGAAGATCGCGAAGTCGTTTGCGGGGTCAGCTACTGCTGTGGCCAACCGCAAGGCACGAGCACAAGCAATACCTTACGTGAGATAGTTGCATGAATTAACCCTGGGCTCGGATCACAGCATGTTTGTTTATCTGTACCTGTTTCCATCAGGCGACCTAAATATGCGCAACCTGGGGGAGGGATGGGTTGGGTCTGCCGAGGAGGTTTACGAATGTCACTCACACCGAGAAATATTCTCCCTATCCGTAGATTTGGCCTGTTCCAAGAGAACCATCGCTATGTCCATGCTACTAGTACAGGGGTAGTATTCAGCAGAAGTCGTAAGATGGACCAGTCCATTTTCTTGATCCCTAGTACCAGATTTAAAGAGACAATAGGGCAGTTTGCCGTTGCTAGTGGGGACTGTTAAAATAACTCAGCTTCGAGAAGGTGAGGACGGTGTGAGCAGAAGGCGGTTGACTAGCAACATGACTTCTTTATTCTGCCCGTTGATTTGCACAGCCACGGCCCGAGGGGCCATCACCATGCTTGGCAAGGTTCTCCCATGGTCAGAATGTTGTCAGGATGCGTTGTCCTACCAGAACACAAGACCTGAGGGTGGCCGTGTTCACAGCCTTGCACGAACACATAGATAGCCATCCCTCACAGATCAAGCTTCAAGAGCGGAATATTCCAAAATTTGCACATAAAAAGAAGAATTTGGCGATAAGCTACAGAGCCACACAGTCTACTTGAATGAAAAAAGACTATTTCTGTTATGAGATTATCTAGTCTACGAAAGGGGAAATACGAAGGTCACTAATTAGCATCGGAAAAAAGGTTTTAAGAGACGGGCGAAAGTTGAAGGAGCATTTAAGCGGATGACGTTGAGTTCCCGACTTGAGCTTGTTTCACAGAGTCGGGAAGAGCATCCCAACTCGGACAAAGTTTTTCCCATGCACCTAATAATCTCATCAGAAACTTCTCTGATGAAGAGGTAAAGGTACGTACTGGGCGGAGGGTTGGCGGCTGGTGCCTGTGCTGGAGCCTCGGCGAACACGACTGCAAGACCCCTAAAAATGGTTAGCCATGTCGATGCCTAATAGTAGCGTAAGTAGACCTACTCGTGGAGGTGGAAGTCGATATGACTAGAAGACGTGTCATCCGTCAGTCATTTTCGAAGGTGAAGTGGGTAAAAGCGCACCAGTGGAGGATCCATGGACCAGGGTTGTCAGTCCTAAAGCGAATGGAAACAGAGTCTCCCTGGGTATCACCAAGACTCACGACATCCCTCTGGACGGGGTTCAAAAAGTTGAATTGCGGGCTACTAGCACTCTTCACAACGCTGAAGGTATGCTAAATTTATTATCAGTATGATGGTACTGGATCACCATGAAGAGCGGAGCAAGACGTACTCCGTGAAGATGGAAGGGGTGAGGGCCGCCGATGAGTCCGCTAGGCACGTTGATCTGAACAACTTTGTTCCTCTCCACTGTAAGCACCCCTCCCTCCGGGAGCAAGTCTTGTGCTGTGCGGGCACCACTCATGATCTGGAGAAGGACAGGGACGGTAGGAGGGACAAATGAATTGTTGTTGATGCTGAACCTGAAAGCAGTTTCGTTGAAGGCGAGTGTGAGGTTGAACGTGACGTCGGCACCGTCAGGAACTGGCTTCCCAGGAGCGAAAGGATTCAGCAGGGGATGCAAGTGAGCCTCCACGAGGGCATTTCGATCTGGCAGCTGAGTAGAGTTCGGCTCCGCATTGGGTGCACCCCGATACCTCAAGATAGCAGAATTCACTCCGTTCTCAAAGGTGCTCGAGAGGTTCCTGTTACCAGTGCTAGGAAGGGATCTGATCCAATAATTCCCAATAGGTCTATTCGCGTTTAGGACGACAGAGTAGCGCTGGCCTGTTTGAGCTGTTAGTTTTCGTGTCCGGCCGGGTAAAACTACAACACTCACCAGCAAAAATCTGGAAGCTGGTTACTGTGTGCGGTAGCGTTGGTACACCGTCTGTCTCGATGACCATAAGATCGTGGCCATCAATAGAGAAATTGAAGTTGGGATCGCAGGATATCGAGATAACACGGAGGCGATAGCGCTTTCCTCTCTGGACATTAACGACTGCCAAATCAGCAATGGGGCCTCCTGGGAATCGACCCTTCCCATTTATGAGCGTGCTGTCAGCCGAAGGGATGCCTACAATCGTAGGAGCCAAGACGTGGTACCTTTGATAGAGGAATTAGAGACAGTTATCGTCAAAACGGGGAAACTATTGCGTACCACTCGGACAATGCAATGATGGTCGACTCTAGACTAGCGCTTTAGTAATAGCAGCTAACCATTACCAGGAGTGAGCTCACCATCGTCAACTGTGGAGTGTCATGTTAGAAGGAATGTCAGGAATACCCAAGTATGTGATGTATTACGTACCATCGTAGAATAATTGGAGAGGATCTTTGGGATCTTGAACAATCAATATACCCCGGACCCCATCACAATACTGCACCTCTGAGATAAAAATGAGCCTGAAATCATTTCCCACGGGAAAGGTGGATAATTACGGAAATGAGAGTGGTACCAGTAGGTCCCGGCTGAATCTGCACTGAAGGAGTACAGGAAAGAATCATTGGGAGCGATCGGGCATTGAGTCACACCCTCGACACCGTCCATGAAATTAGTGCCTTTCTGGAGCATACCGTGCCAATGCTACTCGCTGGTTAGAATAAGACACTGATAAGATGCAGATATCACTCACGATGCTCGTCCCGCGCAGTTGTTTTGGGTCTGCCAGCTTATTGACCACATTCAGCTTTAAATGATCGCCCTGGCATGCGATCTCAGCACTGAGAAACAGCGGAGAAACATGGAGAAAATACCTTCTTCGCCATGATAACTGGGCCTGGATGGATACCATTGATAACCGACGCTCTGGAAACATTGGTCAATACTGCAAATGCCGCATAGGAAACTTCAGCATACGGTCGCAAGAACCCATCTGGAGCAATATTCTTGTTCGCTATGTTGAGGGTCGATGCAGGACCAACCGTCACAGCAAAGGCAGCGGTGGCCAAAGAGATAAGACATAACAAATGAGACCTCAGGAACATCCCTCTATCGTCAAAGCTGGGTGCAAAGTAAGAAAATGTGCAACGCAGAAAGATGCAAAGGGAAGCTGAGGAGGGAAGTGATAATGAAGGGTACACGACCAACAGCGATTTTATACGCGGCACCATGATGCGAAATGACAGTCATTATTAGACACTGAACCGTAGGTATAGACAGCCGCACGAGTCTAGCATACGTTGATGCTATTCGTGTTGCCTGTATCGAGATGCAGGGCCATAGCGGCATTTCCTCATCTGACCAAAGAGCAGCTCTCAGATCTCGGGGCTGTGATCTTACTATTGAATCGATCAATAATGGCAGCATGGGCGCTATTCTTGTCCGGGGGGGCAGAAGCCGATCAAGAATAGTGGCGATTTAAACGAAATGTGCGTGTATTTCTGGAGAGAAGATCAATTGGACGTGCAGAAAGATGACCACGGTACGGTCTGAACATAGAGTACTCTGCACAGTATTCGGCTGGTTCATGGCTTTCTCACACGACGACCAAGAAACTCGACTGTTGACAAGCCTATAGCACTCATCTCTCTGCATGCTTGATTGTAGTCAATGCCCGAATAGATGTTAGCTCCGGTTGGGTCCCCAAAAGAACAAGACATTCCTGAATTCATGTTGTGAGTTCCATGAAACAGCACTCTCCGACGTACCTGCTCGTACGTCATCAGGTCTACACCAGAGGGTATTTTTACACTGCGGTCGTCCACCCGGGGCTGTCCCGGGGCCGTACCCATGCTACATTTGTCGAAAAACGCACAGATCTAAAATTAGTTCGTCACATTGATGAAAACAGGACGTAAATATAACTCGCACTGCGGGGCATTCGTGCGTAAATGAAGTTATGGTGCCCGAACTATCTGCACAAGTCTTGAGTAAGACAAGATTCCTGACTTGACAAGAAACGTTTTACGGACACCACTTTATCCGTACATGAAGTTTTAGAACTTGACATAGTAAAAGAAATGGACCCACTGAGTGCCGTTCCGGATTCCGAATGAACCTGGGCGACGTACCCTTACACTTGGCGTCGGCTACAAATTGTGAAGGACTGCCCCAATTCCACCGTAACTTGCATTTCGAAAGCCCCGGAACAGTGATACATCACGATGCACCGCTTCTCGGATACGGCTGAGGGTTTAGCACGGAGAGCGGGGGTGCAGTTAGATGCGAAATCCGATGGAGAACCATTATTAGACTCCTGTTGCGATTCGCTAATTCCACTTTCGCCACCTGTGGCAACTGCGGTGTTCGCCCTGATATGCACTTGATCATCATCACTCTTGATGCCAACTAGTGGGTAGATATCTTAATGGCATGAGTACGATGCCAAGGGCGAATAAACTCGTGGAATGGGGTGCTACCCGACTGCCAAGTGTCATTGAGTGTTGAGTGATAGCGTGCGTGTTTGATGGTGACATTGCCACTCACTGCAATTGTGTCTATGTTTCAGAACATGGTACCGACCGAGCCCGGGTTCGATCGAAGAGTTTGGACATAATGCCTAGTGCTTGAGCTTCCTGTTCCCTTGCACAGTCTGTGAGAATCGGCAAGGATGTTCTCGTGAGAGTCAAGATAATTCGAGCCAACGGTGTTCGTCAGCCCCCGGGTCGAAATGTTGATGGCGTCACGGCACTTTCCGCCTCGTACGCGCTTAAGCCAAGGTTAATATCAGTGATCTTGGAGACAAGTGTTTTCTCGGCATATGGTCATCCAACGGGCGCCGAGAACTTTTCCTTAGACTTCTTCAACTTCCATGGCAAACATAGGTGCATTTTCGGCAAGCACGATATCTTAGTAGTATGTCAACGAATGTGTCTGTCATCTATGACAGCCAGTATGCCAGCGAGAATCCCCGAGGGCTGAAGGGATACCACTAAGCGATTCCTTGCTCGACGGTCGTATGTTTGTGATTCTCGAACGTCACTCCTACAGGATCCCGTCCGACAACAAATATAGCCTTCCCGCAAGTTTGATTGACACGTCCTTAATAGGTTAAGTGTAGTAGCATCTAGTAATAGATGCACAAACAAGACTGTTTATTCTGGGGTATCGTGTGTTTTACTCGACTCAATGGGCGATTACTAGATATTATCGACATTTATACTTAGACATACATATTTCAGGAGCTTCCGGGCTCGAGTCGAAGTGAGAACAAGAAAGTGGGTGTGCCTCAGCTCAGAGAATATTAGGGAAGACAGCGAAGTTCGTACGGTAGACCAGCGTTTGCTTCCTGTGACTGGGATTGGAATGGTGGACGCTTTATTAACCTGGGAGACCGGCGGAGCTCAGCTTTGTGACTTTGTTAGTAACGGACCTTGTCAATAACTCTGGGGTTGTTTGAATCAGCTTGATTGACAGAAAATGAGGTGTGAAGACTATCGATCGTATTTACCTGGGGTATTGTTGGAACGGTTTACTTACATATGTAGTATCTGGAAACGACGGCGGTAGCATCTTCATAACACAAGGCTTAACATCAGTTAGAGGGTCAAGGCCGACCCACTTTCTCAATGGAAATACTACTCCCTTCGAGCTACCGGATGTTAAGCGAAGTATGGTTCCTAATGAATGGTGCCTGGCCTTTGAAGAGTGGATACCGGATGTCTCACAATAGCGCGTTGACGTCGGTCAAAAGGCCACCCAGGCAGCGGTGAACAGCTTTCCCAAGGTGTTACTCATGCTCTCCGTTCACAGTGATATCTGGGCTTGAAGGAGGTAACTGGCCAAGGCCAGATTCAAGCCACTTGCCCATGGGGCACCATGCGGGAACCAGGCTCCTACTCTCATCACTGTTCTACAGAGAAGGATTGCTCCAATAAGCTCCAGGTTTCTAGGAGTATCACCAATGTTGTGACAGATGTCCGAAGGTCAGTTACGAGCATAGAGGCCATCAATGTGCGGGGATGAAGTGTAGCCCGGGACTGGTTGATGGCAATGGAATCGATAGTATTATGCGTTGCGTGTACTCCGCTTGTGCCATGAAGTTCCCCTGAGAGTGTGCTGAGTCAATCGATAGGTGGGTATCTTTGTGTGGGAAGAATAAGAATCAAAGTGTGGGAAGCAACGTGTGGGAAGCGTCATTTTGCGAGGTGCGCTGGGACCTCGAGCGTCCATCTACTGATATAATCTCAGCGGCTGGCTCATGAGGAGGTTTATCACGTTCTGTTCGGAACTATTTGGCAGGTTTGTCCATACTGATCGATATGTGGGCGGGTTCTTGTCCGTGGGTGGCTCGGCTACGCTCGTCGTGTCTAGGACGCGCACGACGAGAGTTTTCAATGGGGGGCCGCCCGTACTTCAGAGCATTGCTTACAAAAAATTTAGGTGTGCGTCTATTAGCCCACCGCGAGGGTCAAACTCGTAGCCTTCAGATTTAATGCCTGCCTTGACAGAGATAATAAGAGTCTGACGCTCTATCCGATTGAGCTAGGCGGGCTAATGCCGGCATTTTCGATTCTACGTTACGTAATGGCGCGCGGTGGACATCATGCAGTCACACACTCGTTAGACGACTCAACCTTCTTCTCTATATTTGCAGTCCCGCCCTTCCCAGACCCAAAGCTCTCCTTGCTCAAGTTTACGCTCCTTGGGACCTCCTCGATCTCGCTATCGGAATTCATGTTACGCGCATGGACTCCGGGTCGTCGGATGATATCGAAGATAGAGCTGAGCGGCCGAAGCAAGGCCTAAAGTCAGCTCGGAACAGGTTCTAAACTGTGAGGACATACCTATGTCCGCTTGATGAAGCGCCGCTGGCACTACGAATGGTCGGAATAGGCTTTGGGAGGTTCACCGATGATTTGTTCAAACCAGGCGAGCTATTTGGAGTGCGAGACAGACCGGCTGCGAGATCCTCCAGGCGGTAGGTAGTTAATTCCGGTTGACTATCATCCAGTTCTGCAGGCAAAGCATTCTCCATCGGTGGGAGGTGAGTTTGACTTGACGTGTTGCTGTCCCCGGGCTGACCGATCCTCGGTTCTAGGACCTCCAATCTCAGTCCTCTGGAACCTCCAAACGGCATATTCCTCAAGTCACGCTGCTTCGAGTGCTCTCCGTCTTCTTTGTTGTCTCGCATTTCCATCTCATTTTTGTTGTCTCGGCGATACTCATTGACCGAAATCCTCTCAACAACCACCTTCGATCGGTCCAACAGCGCCTCCGTTGTTGACTCTGCCCACCCGACCTTCGCTGTGTTTCTCCCATCTGGTTCCCTCACACCGCCCTGCTCAACACCAGAACCAGAACCACTAAAGCTGAAGCGGATGTCGAGTTTCGGCGGCAAGTCCAGCGTGAATCTGACAGATGGCTTCGAATCGAGTAACTTTGTCGGCAAAAGGGACCGGGGTAACTTTGTTTGCAGGCCAGCACCTATGTTGGTCTCAACCTTCATGATGCTCTGAGGTGCAGGAATATCACTGCGTTGTGCGATGATGCCGACCCTCTTTCCCCCACATGCATCCAGTGACAACGCTCTACCCACATCCACACCAATGCTCATTGTCGAACTATCTGACTCACTCAATCTGTCAACCTTATCCCTCTTGACATCCAACGTCTGGTTCTGCTGACTCTTCCTACCGAATCCACTCAACAGCGCTACTCCGCCCGCCTTCACGTCTGATATGATTGTGGAGCTCAATCGAGAAGCCTTCCGCACAAGTCTCGCCGGAAGTGGCTGGCTACCTAGGGTCTGATGACAACGCTCCGTGTGAGGGGAGCCCTTGGTCCCATTGTTTGTCACGGCCGTAGATACGGTCGGTGGAGAAAGTGCATTTCCTTTTGTCGCTGCTGTCGAGGGAATGGTGCTGGTAAAAGATCGAGTTGACGGTGGAGGATCAATAGGAACCGACGGCTTAATCGTGTCCCTTCGTTCCCTATCCCTTGTATGGTCAACACCGGAACCCACCCTCCTATCACGACTGCCACTCCTTGTAGCACCCGAGTATCCCCTCCCATCCGGGACCGCCAGGTTCATTGATCCGGCGCTTCCTTTGACGTTCACGATCGGGGCGCTCCTACCGCCAGCGCCGGCGCTGGCACCTGGACCCATAACCTGCATCTGCGCAGGAATAGGAGTCCTGGAAGCCGCGGGATAAACCATTGGTAGATCACTCGGGAGTGCGCTATCAGCTCGGGATATCGCTAAATGACTCCTACGCCGCTTTGCTCCTGGAAAGACGGGAAGATGGGAGGCGAGGGTCGAGGGTGGCATGTAGTCGTTCGGTCTGATGTGAAGGAAACGATGGTTGGGATTGGGTGCGCCTGACGAATTACGTTTCAGTCCATGTTGGAGTTCAGGCGGACTTTGGACTCTGGTCATTCCCGGGTGTGCTCAACATTGTAAATCCTCTTGCGAAAAAAATGATCTATTTTTTGAAAGAGAGGCATGCCCCGGTAGCCTGGATACTCTCTTACAAACCCCCATATCCCCAAACGTCAAAGTGTCTCCCGCACATCACTACTATCACTTTTATTAGGTCTGATTACGCAACCCGCTAGGCGCCCACACAGGCGCCTTTGAATACATTGACGATTGTCATAATTATATAATCGTCCCGATAAATGGACTCTGACCTAGTTTTCATGGGTGGGGCTACGCACTCAAAAATCCCCCCTAATGATTCTTTAGAACTAAAAGTCTTTTGACTACCAGCCTTTCGAAAGTCATCCCGCCGGGTCCGTCATATCACCCTTCTCAATCCCCACCTCGGTATTAGCGCTCAACATTTCATACAAGTCTCGCCACGATTGTACATTCAACACTCTGTCCTACTTATTCAGGCGGGTCATCGGATTGCCTCAGTTCTAGTGAAAGATAGATAAGCGTCGTAATGATCTCGTCTAGGAGGTGAAGGTATTTGTCCGTTATGGTCACCGACATTGGTTGAGGCTTTGAAAATATGCCGAGTGAACCGCTGTCAAAAGTAGCAGCGACCTCGCGGTCAGTGCGACCCATTGTAACTAACTGCATGTCGTGAATATAAGCGTGAGCCACTGCCCTCCTAGTCAACTTATACTACACAAGCCATACACTACCTTTAATTTGTGTCCTAGCTTGACTTTCCATTTGTACCTGTTGTTATCGGATGATATGAATATGCGTGACCTAGGAAAGTCAATCGACCTGCTGCAGCTATTGTCCGCAAATACCACTCACAGCGAGAAGAATTTTTTATCATCTATAATTACTCGTGCTCCCCAAAGCCTCACCAGCGTAGTCGTGCTAAAGGCATCGTATTCTATACAGGCCATGCTGATGGCCTCTTGGGTAGATTGATCCCTTTTCTTGATCTCTGTCGTGAAGCCAGACGTGAAAAGATAATAGAGTGGGTCACCATTGCGGGTGAGAACTGCGTCGGAAACGCTTCGCTTTGAGAAGGTGAGGATCATTGTTCAAGCGAAGCGTAGCTGCCCCCACGGGTTGCTCATATACAGAGCCTGCGTATGGCTCTTATCTGACAGGTTGTTTGATAAGGTCTTTCCACGTTCAGAGTATGATTCTCCGTCTAACAATAAAGCAAGTTCTGACAGAGGTCGTGTCACGGTCGTTGAACCCGGGATTTATCCTTAACTCGAACTCCAAGCTCACCGGATATTTGCACTCGTATACACTGTGAGTCTAACAAAGGGGCGAATTGAGGAACCACTGATTGTTGACCTGATATACATAATGCGACGGCCATTCGGCATTGCAGACTTGTGACGTCCTTGTCATGACACAAGGGGAACAAACAATACAAAATAGTAAACACCCTTCAGATCCCTATCTGGCATACACAAAATATTAATCGAAGGGACTCGAAAAAGCCGACTACGTGGGATTGGGGAATAAACGAGAAAGCTACAAAACATGTACATAGGTTACGTAACTTTCAGAGTTGTGGCCACAAGGACAAGCCACAGTTTGGCATTCCAACACTGGACTGTTGCTGTAACCCCAACAATACCCAAACCAACCACCACCCACCTTCAAGCTGTGTTCAATACTAGAAACCATAATGTAGAAGTCATATTTTGCAAAATTGACGTTGACGATTATGACCTTGTGCATCTAGGGCTCCTGGTGGGGTTTTGGATATAACGCTCGATACAGAGACAGGCAGTCATGAGGAGCTCGCCAACAAGTAAGTTATCACTACTTACTTCACCTCTTCCGCACCCACAGGGAGGTCAAAGTGTCACTTTTCGTCACGTTTGCCGAAGGA